ATATATTTTATTCAACCATCAACCAACAGAGATAGAAACCTCCACTAACAGCAAGTATAAAGAAACAAAATAACACAGTGGATTAGATTGTAAATGAACGTATTGTACCCCGAATAAGCACCCAGTCCTTTATTAATCCACTCCATATCACATCCCATTTTGAGAGAAATATCTATTTGTCTGAAACCATCCGTGAAGTGTATCTCAGTATGCTTTATTCATTTAAAATACAGCTATTGTTCGATAAATAGTTTATTTCTATGCAATTGCACGACTGAACAGCAAAGTATACGTTTCGAGTAATAAAGGAATTAATACCGTGATTGAACTATTAAACTCGAAGTAAACCCGCGCTTTCTCACACTAAATGATTTCTCTGCATACAGGAGAAATTATGAACGAGTGATTACACTTGATAAATTACCATATTAACAGAAGACAGTAGACATGCTCCAAAAATTCTCCCAACAATCAGTGCCTGAAAGTGCATCGTCGTTTGTAATTTCACTGTTCCTTAGTTTTACCACAACAACTCCCTGGTTTTACTCAACAGAGGTTACACCTGTCGTGATTTGAACCACAACCCATGTTTGAAAGCGCCTTAATTAACCAACCACAATGAACCTTTCCACTGTTCCTTATTTCCTATTAGATACGGTGACCTTTACATCAATCTCCTATGGAAATTGGCCAAGTGACAATATTCAATCTGAATCATTTATTCACGGATCTGGCCAGAGTAATAGGATATTCTCCCCGTCAGAAGACACACACACACACAACGTAAATTGACTTTTATGACATGAGTGATGCAAAGCTACCCCACGGGTAGGCCCTACTTGCTTCATGATATGAGGTGAATGAAGAAGAATCAAAGTGTACTGTGTCCACAGAGGCCTACATAACAACCTAAAACAGCAAAATGTCAAATTCTCTGAAATAAATATTATTCATTGCGTCTATTGAAGAATGAAGTTAGGGATCAAGAATTAATAATAACCACGGCCGCGAGTAACGTTCTCTAAAGCTAGAGAAAAGCCTTTATAGGCATAAAACAGGAGAAATTACTATATAGGAGGCATAATGCTTCCTTAAATCATATTAATTATGCTCATATTTAATCAGCATAACTTACCGACTTCCTAACTGCGAATTAGAGTGTACATTCTCTATAAATCCTCTTTCCGTGAGTCACTATGTACAACCAATCCTCTCTTAGCAACAACTTCTCGCTTACTAAACAACCAAGCAAAAGTTCTCTTTTTCAAGTCATTTTCTTGAGACCCAGTAGGGGGCGGTATTTCGAGCTGTGATACATGAAACGAAAATCTAAGTGGCCGCGAGGAAAGTCAAACCCGAAATGAATACGTACAAAAACAAAATACAAAAGTTTTGATTGGCAGATCAAATATTACGAATACAGTATATGGCGAATTTGATGGATGAAGTCTGTGACATATATAGGGCCTGAAAACGACGGGGGACTCCTGTAAGTATGGGCCACGTCATTTTAAAACCAGGTCAAACTGTATGCCTTTAGTTCTTATCAAATTCACTTGGAGTCTAGTTAGGCATTTATAATAGATCATAATGGCTTCTATTTGATTCCATGGATGTCGCTGATGGTCTATGATGAAGATCATTAGTCTAAGAATGGTCATTGCTGTTTCATGATTGAACAGGGAGGTGCAAAAGTAAACACAGATAAAATAACCCCATATTTTGACCAAGGAATTTTGACCATGCTTTTGACGAAGCATGGAGTTAAAAAGTTAAAGTTGAGGAATTTATAATAAAAGAAATGAAATAATTAAAGATGACAGTTTCAAAAAAATCTACGAAATATTTGGTAATAGACCTATCTTACCATATTTTATTTATCGATGACCATATGAGTATCATGGCCACTTGGCAGACGTTATTTATTCAGCATGTGGCTTGTGAATTGTTCGGATCGTTTGGAGGGTATTTAGGAGAGTATTTATAGTGTCACGTGATAACGAGCGCTTCTCTGATTAGTTGACACCAAAGATCTTATAAACACAAGATAGCGTTCTCCGCGATTTACGTGTGCAAATTCTGTAATAAGGCATGAATGGCGCCCTCTTGCTAAATTGGAAACTTTTGACCTTTGACCGCTATGACCATACCGTACTGTGAACAGCAGAACAGGAACCATCTCAAATCCATGGCAACAGATAGGACGCCCTCTTCCAAAACTGATTACTTTTTCTCTTTGGTATAATAGCGCATGAATGGCGCCCTCTTGCTAAATTGGAAACTTTTTAACCTTGACCGACGCTTCTATTTGTTACGCGTAAATCGCGGAGAACGCTATCTTGTGTTTATAAGATCTTTGGTTGACACTTAGTTGGTAACTTTTTTTGACAAGAGGAAGCGTGTTGAGGAAAATATCATTAAAATTATGCCAGTTATAGAAGAAACAAAGCATTTGGAAGTTGGTAAGGATGATAAACCGATAATAATAAAATAGTGTTACGTTTTGAAAGTTGCCAGTCCATTGGTGTTTTCATTACTGAGAAATGCTAGGCCCCGTTTCGTTGTTGTTCTTAAAATTGCGTTCCTTCCTTCGACGTAGGCCTACGTGGCCACCGGTGATTTTCAAAGGAAGTGATCAGAGGGGCCTTGGAATGGCTTAACAAGATTATATTAAATAGTGTTGTCATGTTGACCGTATAGAACCTCCATGCCTGCACTCTAGCCTAGGGTAGGCTAGGAGTAGGACTTAGTATTACATAGTAGGCCTGCCCTAGGCTAGCCAACTGCCAGGCCCCTACGGTATAGCCTACCCTAGGCCTAGCCTACAGTACAGTAGGCTAGGTAAGTAGGCTTAGACCTACCTGTACTAATAAGGTAGGTAGGAGGCCTACTACAGGTGGGGGCGGGGGTGTCTTTACCTTACATATGATATAGTAGTCCTACTACTGTAGCTTAGGCCTGCATTTATAGGCATCTACCTTTTTACTAACTTCGCCTATAACTGGTTGGGAGGGAAGCTTTGGATATTTTTAATTTCATGGGCAAAGCATGTTTGAGAGGGATCAGTATATTGCTCTAGGCTAGACCTAGTTAATTGTTCATTAGTTAACTGTATACTGAGGGCCTCTAATGAGCACTCTAAAATAGTAGAGATTGTCCTCACAAAGTATTCAAATACTGTATACCAAAATGTGTACATGTGTTTTCATTGACAGATTCCCCACTTCCTCCATTGAAGAAAGGATTGATACGTATCTACAGCAACAGATTCTGTCCTTTTGCTCATAGAACTCGTCTAGTACTTGCAGCCAAGTCCGCAAAGTAATTGTTCATGTTTTTATGATTAAGTTTTGGATGTGTGTATACCTGCCAATTTTGCTGGCATGTGATGCGCGAGACAAAAACAAATAAATTTGTATATGTATTTAGCTATGAAAAAATAACGAGAGCAATCAAACTTCTACTGATTGCATTCGTCGGTCGGTAAAGCTTCGTTAATAAATTTGTATGGCCTGAATTCACATCATGTTTATGAATTTTAGGATATATACAGTTGAATTTGCCTAAGTCGAATCCAAAATGGCATTGAAAAACTGTTCGACTTTGATAAACTTCAACTTACAGATCGTTAATGGAAAACACGACAATTTGGCATGTAAAATAAGATCAACTTGGAAATTATTTGACTTAGGCAAAGTCAACTGAGGCAAGTCTTTTACCGTATGCATATTTAATGATGTGCAATATACTGTAATACTGTACAACATAGGTGTGAGATGTAAAAAGTAGATGCTCATGCATGACACTCCCACTTTATGCGTGAAAGTTGGTAGGTGAAGTGTATGGTGTCTTTGGATTAAATCACGAAAAAGTCATATAAAGTTAAATTATTAAAATTTCTTTGTCATTGCCTCTAAATTTGTTTAACTATTTTATTATTTATACAGTTATGAAATCATCAATATTAATCTTAAGAAAAAACCAAGATGGTACTCAGATAAAAACCCAATGGGAACAACACCTTGCTTGGAGAAAGATGATGCCATAGTCTGGGACTCGACCATCACCTGTGATTACCTGGATGACATCATCAGCGAAAACCCATTGTGGCCTACAGATCCACTTGCAAAGGCTAAAGATCGGATGTTGATAGATTTCTTTGGAAGCAAGGTGAGTTTGACATATTAATTATTTTATAATTAATTTACTGCACGATATGAAATACAACCAATTATTCATTTTTTAACCCCTCTGTTTCAGGTTTCTCCTAATTTTATGAAGCTCACTTTTTACCCTGTGGAAGGTAAAGAGGAATTTCATCAACAGGAGTATGAAAAGTATGTAGGCCAGCTGGAACAGAATCTTTCTGATCGAGGAACTACATTTTTTGCAGGTAGAATCTATAAAACATTTTTAATCAATTGTTTACTATAGCAAAATAACCTCGTAATTGACACTAAGCAATAATTGCTGAAAGGTATATCTATATGGTACTCCACAATCCATTGACCTATATAATTATAAAACAAAAATTCACTTGAGACAAAGCCAAAACAACTTTCAACAATATAAAAAAATACTGCATCACTGTACAGTATCACTGTTAACTACAGAATAATCAAAAGTTTAAACCCTTTTAAAAAAACATACCTTTTGGAAGTACTGTAGGAATAACTCTTCCATTTTGTGTTGTCTAGGAGCCAAGCCTGGTATGGTGGACTATATAATGTGGCCGTGGTTTGAACGATGGGTTCTTCTGGAAGACAGTTTTCCAAAGAATAATTTCCCAAAAGTGAGTAGGATTGTACTTAAGTAATATTGTAAAGTATTGTATTATTTTGAAGAGGAACAAATGTGTATGTAGTTTAAATTCATGATGGCTTGTTGTACCATTATTTTTGAAATAATAGAATTTTATTTTGAGCTTATCTACTGTATGAACCTGTATTATAAACAGGGAGTTGTTTTCTAAATAACAACTCCCTGTTAGAAAGCTGTAGTTGTTATTTTTATAAAAGCTCACCTCCATAATCCTCTGTGTACAAGCTTAACTCTATAATCTTTAGCATACAAACTTCAGGGGTGTGGGTGATAAACAATTGAGGTAGGTAATAACATTAAAAGTGGAACATGGAAAAGTGGATTAATAATTGTGTGTGAGGGTGGGGTCATGAAATTAGCTTTAGACTGGGTGGAAAACTTAAAGGTTGAGTGGCCCTGCCCACACCTCCGCCCACCATAACTACATCCCTGAAGCTTAACTCCATAATTCTTGTAATTCCTTAATAACAAAATTATTTGGATTACATACTAATAACATACTAATTTACAATGTCATAAAAACAGTAAAACAGGGATACTGGGTTATTTTAGGTCACAATGATGGCGTTGATATGGAACACTTTCTTTTGCAGATCTTGACTTGGCGTCAGAATATGATGGCTACTCCTGCAGTGAAGGAAGCAGAGGCGTCATCAGAGATGCATAAGAAATACTTCAAGAATTTCCAGCAAAAAATATTTCAGTATGATTACTAGAATCAGTGAATCCATACCCAAGTACCCCCAGGTACACCTTTTAAGTTTCGCACCTTGGAAACAAAATTACGATCTTGGGCTTGCATCAGTGTTTCAAGAAAGAATGCCCTTGTGAAGTGCTTAGATAGCTGATTTTTTTTTTGCCTATGGGCTCTAAAAGAGAACTAGGTATATGTATGAGATAATCAAATGTTATGGGGACTTAATAAATTAGACAGATGACTAAGTTTTCTAGCTAGCGTTGGCATCCTCTCCACTGTTATAAAGCCTGTACTACATTAACATTGAAATGGTGCCTATATAAAATCTATAATAATAATAAACTTTATTCATTCCACCACCTCTGGTACAAACCCGAAACCAAGAAGGCAATGCCTGTAAGCAGGTCCGGTGCTAACTTATACTGTAAATTAATGCCTTAAATAAACATCTAACGGATACAAACATGGTCCTAAACTCGCCTAACTCTCCTGAGGGGGGTTTTCGAGGAGCTGAGCGTTTTTTGTTATTATAAAAGACCCGAATTCAATACTCGACACAGAGCCAGGTATCGAACCCGGGCCCTGACGTGCAAGAGGCAGGAACCATACCAATTAGCCAAACCCTCAGCTCAGTTTTTGATAGGCATTAAAGGCAAAAATAATAGTTGCATTGGTGAAAAGGGAGGAAAAAGTGAATTTATTATACTGTATAGATACATTTAAAGGGCTTCATGAATGTGCTGAACATAAATCTGAATAGATAGACTTTACACGTAAACCTGAACTCCTTAACATAGATTTACGGGCCACTGATTAATCTCAGATAAGAAAGTATAATATGTACTCCAAGTATTGAAATGTATCTTGTTGGGATTCAATATTTCAACATGATGTCATCATCAGGAATGCTTCCTGATGTAGATCTAAACATTTTGTGTAAGCCCGAGATTAAAGTATTAGAGATTACTGTAATCTTTTTAATTGGTTTACAGTACCTGAATTCCTTAGCTACTTATTACAGTGAAATCTACTTTTTTTTCTTGTTAACCCCTTCCCCTAACAACATATTCAACCCTTCATTTATAATCTCAATTGACTTCCAAGAACAGTACTTGATTTTAAACCACTTCTTCAAACAACCATCATGTTTTTTTTTTACAGTATTGCGTGTGTTTCCTCCAATGCACTCTGTTCCAACAACAAACACCTCGTACAAGTCCCTTCTTTAAGAAGTAAACTTATGGTCAATGTTTGTTTTTTGAGATGAGAGCCTGAGGCTATCAAAAATATATATTTGTATGCTGTCGTTGATGGTGATGATGAACTAATGAAATCAAATCAAAAACATTTAAATAAAACAGTACTACTGTATAAAAAGTGAATACTGATAAAGTTTATATTTTCTTAGGCTCATAATATTGTTAATGTTTTATATATTTTTATAAACTATTTTGTTTAAATTGAATGTGAAGGTACTGTTTAATTTGTGTCTACTGCCCCTCAGGAAGCAGTAGACACTATGGTGTCGCGCAACAGTTGACCATTGTAATTCCGGTGGAGGTCATGTGTATCTTATATGTGGTTAGTAACAGGTCACTGTATTGGACACACGCTCTTGCTGGGAGCCTATTTTTTTAAATGTTACTACAGGTATATCAAAATTGGTGAAGGGAAATAAAAACGTATATGCTGCAAGTAGAGTGCAGCATATATGCAGTACTTAGATATATTAATGATTTTAATAATGCTATTTCTTTTATTTATTCACAGGATAAAGGAAATATGTTTTTGATACTAAAGGTTTTGTATGTACTGTATTGGGTTTTTTGTGTCGTAAGAAAAGGCTCAACAAAACAAAACTGAATCCAGTTGTAAATATGAACATTTTATTCTCAAATATTTACAATTCAAACTGTATAATATCACAAACTTTTAAAATTACATTCAAAACACTAATAAAATGTACACCATTGTCTGTGTATTAATAACAAACTTCATAATCGCAATACAATATAATAAGAAGGTAAGGCGTGACTTTTTTTATCCTTGTTTCGCTTACTTATGTTTTTTAAAGATCATCGGAGGAGGGTGGAATAAAAATAAAATGGAAATTTTGTTTTCTTATTTAGCAAATAGTTTTGCCAAAAACACCAAGATGGAAAAATAAAAATAAAATTTTATTGGTGAATGTAAAATGGGATGGTTAAATGCTTTGAATATATAATTAGGAAGAAATATACATATCTTACCTGTGGAGATTTCAAGGCAGCAGAGGCCGTAATAAAAATGAAGAAAAACTTTTGTTTTTTTTCCTGAAATTTCCATTTTTCGTGGCAGCAGGTGCGCTAATTGGCTAGAAATAAAATTTAAATTTTATTTGATATCCTAAATATTTGCGTTCGACGGGTTCACTAATCAAGGTATAAAAAAAGTGTCACATAATAGTGAAATAGTAACTTGGTAAATAAATATACAATACTACACAATAGAGCGAAAATGGAATGATGGATACTTGTGGTTAAGTACGATTATACAGTGCCCTGGGATAAACTTATTTTTTTCGGTGTTCTAGTTTTAACAATGAAGTTTTGTTTGAAGGTTTGCATGGTGAAGTAATAATAGTATATTAATGCTTGTGGTACACCACGTAGATAGTTCTGAAAAGAACTGTTGTTGTTGGAATATATGTTAGTACTTACTGAGTAATGGTAAAAAACACAAAAAGCATTGTCTATTCAAGATGATATGTATTGTATTGTGATGGGCCACACCTAACCAAGCTTCACTAAGGGGTGAGGTTAAAACATTGTTAAGTCATCTCCAGATGCTAACAAATAGCACTCTGACTAGCTCTCTCTGGCTTAGAAAATGATACTAATAAATTTTCCACAGAAACCTCAACGGTTGGCCAGATAATTTATATAGCGCTTTTCAAAATCCACAGATTTTACAAGGTGAAATCATTATTTCCTGGTCACTGGATTGGCAAATCCGCACGTTGTTCAACTTTCTCTGCTCACTGGGGAGTATCCCTGGTCATTGCTGCTTGAACGTGCATGACTCATACATTCAATGCCATATCATCCTACCAGGTACCCATTTATACTCCTGGGTGGAGAGAGGCAACGTAAATAAATTGCCTTGCCCATGGACACAAGCAATGCGACGAGCGTCTCACAATCTCGATTCGAAGTCCAACACCTTGGACGCTGGCTACAGGCTCTGGTATTAACCATGTTTGCTTACATTGGCACCAGTTACTTTACAAAAATTCAATTTAAAACAAAACCATTGGAAGTATGGTTTATTCAAGGTGATAAATTATACAAGTATTTTACAAAAATCTTAAGTTATATTACTTTGTCTACACTATCGTGTGATACGATACTGTCATGCCCATAAAGGGATAAGTCATATATTTGTCATAGAAAATTTAATTTGGACAAATTATTACAAACATTTTATCTAAAAGTTTAAAATATTTTCAAGGCAAAATGTTAGAATGTTTTGTAATCTAATAAGACAGTACTTCAGAGAACATAAACATGATGTTATTGCAGTTGATGAATTACCCTGCAAATGATTGCTTGATGCCAAAAACATAAGTTGAGGCCACTTAATCTGAATTAAATTAGGAAACGCTCATCTACTAACGTCTTTTTGGCAAGGTTGCTACGTCCGAAGCTGTCACGAAATGACTTGATGAACTGTAAACAAAATATATAGTAATGTAATATCTTAAATTAATCATATGTTTCTCGGAGCTAGGGAGTTTATCCCCTAGGACCACCACTAGTATAGTAGAAACTGCAATCACAATAACTTTTGATTAGGAACTGAAAAAAGTGTCGTCCGACGGGAATCTCGCTCCTGACACCCACCCCCACTTTTTACCTGTGCCTCCTTTTAAAAATCCTAAGCACTCTAGTAAATGCTTTAAGTTCTAATGTGAAAATAATTTTTTCCCTCTGAATTCACTTACCCTCATGAAAAGAAATGTGACAATTGCTGCTAAAACAAAGTTTTTAGATATGAGATCCACAAAGCAGAAAAGAAGAACTTCAAACAACAGCAGGGTGATCTCGTTTCCCGCAAAAATCACACGATCAAACGAATGTCCGTCATCTAAAATAAATTGAAGAAAGAATAGTAATAAAAAATATTAAAAATCTTTATATCTTCATGAAGGGGCTCAAATATGTGTATTTCAAAGCTGCACATAGGTTGTAATGTCATATAGGTTATTTAATATGATTATTATATTTTTTGTCTACTACAGAATAAATAAAGGTCTCCCTCCAATTAAAAACCATTTTTGGGACTGGGGTTTCCATGGTCTGTACAATCTTTGGTCTGTAATTAGAATAATAAAGATAAGACATTTGTTAATTTGTGACTGTAGAAAAGTGGTCCTTAATTGAAGGTGGTCTTTAGAGGGAGACCTCTAGTTAATTTACCATTGTAAAGGAATCCCTGGTCTGCCGAATCTGAAAACTCCATATCCAGAATACGCTCCAGCAATAATTTATCCTTCACTTGATAGTCAATGTCTCTCAAACCCTGAAAGATGATCAATATATTTATCATTTCTAAATCAAATTCTTGTAAATCATAAAATATATTTAGTCTTTACATCAATGTCTTGTTTGCTTGATATTTAAATAGTATAAAAAATAATATCTTTGCATAATAACATAAGACAACAACCGAAAGGTCCACTGATTAATCTCAGATAAGAAAGTATAATACATACTCCAAGTATTGAAATACACGCCATCGTGTTGGGATTCAATATTTCGACATTAATTATGTCATCATCAGGAATAATGATTCCATAATTAATGTCGAAATATTGAATCCCACGATGGCGTGTATTTCAATACTTGGAGTATGTATTAAACTTTCCTAACATAAGACAATAAAAAAGATTAAATTTATTTCTTAATATAATTATGTAATTTGCTTTCCTGAGTTGTAAGTACAGAGCAAATCACAAAATCCAAGCGCCATCCTCAAGCTACCCCTGCTAACAACTAGAAATAGGCCTATGCTTAGCAAAAAAATTTATGCTTGTTAAATATCACTTCATTTAATTTTTGCCAGCTAAGCCCAACTAAATTTTAATCATCGAGCCCTTCCCCCAATTAACTTTCATTCTCCCACCAACATCTCCCTCCCCCTCCACCTGGCATGTCTATACTCCTAGATATGCCAGTGTTAGATTCATTGTGATTAACTTACATGGTCAATGAATGCTGACAAGAATTTATTCATGCTGACATAAGCTTCGTTAAATCGTTCATTATCTCCACCACCGCCAGGCCGCCCTTTGAAGAAACATACATAACATTGTTAAAGGCAGTGTATCATATATGTTTTTTATCACGTTCTATTCCAATGTTTCAAATGTCTAAAGAAGAGTTCACTTTACCTCTTGTAGCTTCAATTCTACCTTGTGCATTTGCCTGGAAAGATGATTTTAAAAAAGTATGATTATTTAATTCATATAATGATGATAAGGCCCAAAAAACAAAACAAAAAATTATTGCGTTACGAAATTTCAGTTGTTTTTTTTTGACAACGAAAAATATTTTTTTATTAGCAAATAAGGCTGGAATAACCTTGGCGAGGTAGGGGGCCAATGCTAGCCTATTTTGCTGGATTGTACGCAATGCGAATCCAAAGTTGTTGGATTATTTGTGTATTTTCTACTTTTTAGGCGTAAACACATATTTGGATGTAAAAAAAAAAACAAAAGAAAAGTTTTCCTACTGTCCTACTCATTTTTTGGATTTTCCCAAAACTTGTCCAACACAAAATGGCCTAATGATGATGACGATAATAATGACGACCATAACGATGGTCGTAGTGATGATAATGAAGATAATAAATATTTATAATAATGTGATGATAACGGTGGTAAAGATGAGGAGGATGCTGATGATGCAGATGATGGTGATCATCATCACTATGAAAATGAAGATGATGGTTAAGATGATGATAATAATACTGATTTTGATATAGAAGATGTTAATTTCAACAATAGCAATGATGGTATTATTAATAAGGATAACAATAATATTGATGATGGGGATATTGATGTTGGCAATGCTGAGGTTTACATACCAACGGCAGCAAGATGCGGTCATACTGCTCTCTCATCCTCTCTGGGAGCTGCATCTCAAACGTCTGTTCTTCTGAGTTTGGTAGCAAGCCACGCTGACCACACAGATTATCCTATTCAATTTGGTAAAACAATTATTAATAATTTTAATATTTTGTTATTGAAATTGGCATAAAATATACCACTTAATAATTTTGGTTATAGAGCTCTCTCTCTCTCTCTAATGAAAGACCCCTCCTATTAAAGAGGACCCCCTTTCTGGAACCCCATCAATGTCTATCTTTTATTTGTATAAGAACAAGTGCGGATCCAGTAGGGGGCATGGGGGAGGGGGTATATGCCCTCTGTTTTTGCCACTAAATTTTAAAATTTCAATGCATATCAATGTTATGTATGAAATAAGCACGACTCATCTATCTAATCTGAAAATGCTGTGTGCCCCTCCACCCAATTTGAAAAATTCTGGATCTGTCCCTGAAGCATAATTTTTATAATTAAAGACCAAAGCTGCTAAAAAATCATGAAAACCCTGGTCCCAAAAGCGACCTTTAATTTTGGGGAGACCTGTATTTTTTTTTTTTTTTGATAAAAATTTACTTATCAGAAAGACCACCCCATTATGAAAATATTTAATTATCCAAACTTTGCCTCTGCTCTGTTAGTAGAGCAAACTTGAGTAGTGTATTTGTTCTAAAGACCAACTTGCTTTAAAATACCTCTTCTCGTTTTAGTTGTTCCCTCATGTGTTTCATACTAGTATCGGCAAAGCCATGCACAGAACGTCCGTGGATGTAGTAACCGTACTTGTGGTTTGCAAGTACAAAAATGCTGATCTGCAAAAAAAATCAAGTTCATTTTGACTTTACATGTACAATCGTCACTGTGTATCTGAATTAATCAGTAAGTAAAACAAAACTATATATTGCATAAACTTGACTTCTTCCTCAATTTCTATTTCTAATATTTGTTTTTAATTTCTCCATGCATGTGTAGAGAATATACTTTGATCGACTCTGTATTGTTCACGGTGCCATAGTAGAATTTAAAGAACTAACATGGCATGGCCGACCTGGGCCTTGGGGTGTTCAATGGAGTGGCTTAAAGATGCCCTGCTCCCACACCCCCTGTAGGCGCCACAAATGGTTGTGTGGGCTTTCGTGTTGAAATAACATTGAATATAATATACACTCATCAACAATATCATTCTACACACATGTTCCTAATCCTAATTATTATACCAGCATACATTTGAATACAAAAGACTTTGGAATGAGAGAAAGGCCAAAAGAATATTTTTAAAGATTTTATCTCCTTTTTAATTAATTTTAGGTAATGTATCGTAATTAATAATGTAGCTAGTTTGTGTTTTATACACCATTTTGCATGTCTCATCAGTTAATGTATTTGTTGTCGTGTATAGATTTTTAAAATATTTAAAAAATTTTAAGTGCCTGATGGTTTTAATGTCTGTTCCAAGTTTTTCTCTTGCCTTTTATAATGTCTCTTTTTTAGAATCTGTAAAATTGTTACAATTCAGACTTTAATACTGCAATTACAATTATTTTTGAATAAAATACCTTTATGAATGAATATCTCTAATATACTTATGAAAAGAATCTAATTTAATAATCATTTAACTTACATTTGCCATGGAGCAGAGGTCTACAAAATTCTGCAAACTGTTCTCAACAAAACGCTCGTAAATAAAGGTAAAGAAAATCCACTAGAAAAAAGAAATAAACAATCAATTATAATAATAAATATTATTAGTAGTATTGTATTTCTTTAAAAAGCATTACTAGATTGAGAAATTGTTATGGTTTACCTGAAAAGAGCCAATGACGAGGTAGAGAGTGGTTGCCATGGCAAATCGAAGGACTCTGCTGTCTTCTGAAATGTACTCAGATGTGTCTGGTGAAGTGGAGGAGTAAATATCATACGTACAAATATTCTTAAAGCCTAGGACCTGCAGAAAAAGAATTTAGACAAATATGCAAATATCCAGGTATGTAAATATGCAAATATGGAAACTGCAATATGAAAAATATGCAAACATAAAAAAAATATGCAAGTATTTTAAAGAGCCTGTAGGCATGAAAATATAGACATATCCAGGTATGGAAATATGAAAATATGTAAAATATGTGGATGTAGGAAACTGAAAATATTCAAGTACTGTATGTTAAGCTTGGTTTCCATACAATCGTTACATGCTATTGCCGAAAGCTTTCTGTAAAATGCTGATTGTTCGGTGAAATTTGGGAGCCTTCCCAATTGCGTCTGGGACTGGCACGCAGTAAAACGATTGCACTGAAAACACTGTAGCACCGGTGTAGCGATTTTAAGGAAGCATTCAAATTTTCTCTAGATGGGTGCTTATGAAATTTAGAGTAGTACAATGTTTTACCTCTAGGAAGAAGAGAACACTGCAGATCTGAAATAAAGGACTACTTCTTCTGCTAGTCTGTAAACAAAAAGATAATGAATTACTTGCTTTGTTCCAAGTAGGTATACATCTCACTAGGGAGTAGCACTTGCTTCACAAGGGTACATTAAATGAATAAAACACCAAAAAATAAGGTTAAAAAATAGAGTGATACATAAAAATGAGATGCCATTGTAAATGTACCAAAACACATACCAGTTGCAAATTTCACAATGTTAGCTAACCTGTATTTCATTCCATTCGTTGGCAACAAAATACGTCCGCCAAATGCTGACAGGATTGGTGGTGTCCTTGCCGTCTGACCCTTTGGTATCTTGGATCGTCTGACCTTTTGGTCTCTCCCAATCAATAAAAAAGATGTCAAATGTGCACTGGGTATAAACCATATGGATTAGATCCAGAAGCTGAAAGTAGAAAGAAACCAAAAATAACAGAATAAAATGTATTCAAGTTGAACCCATGACCTCCAGATAACTAGCGTGGTGCCATAAACCCACCCGAATCACTTGTGAATTTGTTCAGCATGTACCTGGTAACATAGTGAGTATTCGATACATAACATGTGAGTTAGGGCAAAACATCACTATGATATTTTCCTGAGCAATTATTACTGTATAACAAAAAAGTCCACAGTTGAAGGCAATATTCAAATGAATTATTGACTCTCTCTTCTAGCCATATTTATAAAGGGTGACCCTTTCAACATATCCTAGAAGTTCGTCTGATATCCACTCTAAATTTCCAAATAGTGCATTAACAAGCTAATTCAATCCCAGGTTTGGGTTTGCAACCTCACCAGTTAATTAAGCCAGTTGATTTTGTTTTCTTATTTTTTAATTACGTACCTTCAGAACAAATGCACCTATAATGAAAATGACAAAAAGTCCCTCTTGGTCTGGGGTTGGTAATAGAAGTTTGACTACACTTTGTCTCTGCAGATAAAACGTAATATATATCAAAAAGAATATATCATAATAGTTAATGTAACACCCTCTATCAATCGATATTTATATATAGTTAATGAAACACTTTCTGCCAAACCGCTTCTACCAGTACCAGTACCAGTGACTATCATCAGGCTTTTTATATTCCTTAATTATGTCACATATAGTAATCAATAATCCAAGCTTAGTATTTTGATATAAATTTATATATTTAAGAATGTAATTATTAGAGTAATTTCACCATTATTGTTTTGTTTCTTTTATGTTTCTGTTTCTCCATTGGTTTGGAAAGCCACTTGTCATTATTTCATCATACTTTCGGTTATCCTCTCTTGCCAATTTATGAAACTTTTTTGTGCGTTTATTAACTTTTACTGAATACATGAAATTAAAAATTTATATTTAAGTAGGGAAAGAGAGGTGAGGGTCAAAGTTGAGAAGGGTGATAAAAGATGAGTAAATAACAGATTTTTTACCTTATAGAAGACCATTAAAAATAATGCTGAACCATACACAATGACAAAGAGCATATCAGCGAGCAAACCAGAGGCAAATGCAAAAAACTTCACGAAAGCCTGAAATAATACCAAAAAGCAAAAACGTAAAAAATCTAAACAGAGCTTAAAGCTTAAAGTTCACTGCACCCAGTGGTTGTCAGCCGACGCGACTATATGGAGAACGCAACGCAACGACGCACACGCATTTAATCATTTTTAATGATCAGTTCAGACTGCCACTGACAGTCAGTGAAAGGCGTAGCGTCGTCTAGAGCTCACAGAGAGTGAAGTTGGATTCGTCGTATGTAACTACAATTGTACTAGCTGTAATCGAGTCCACCACTTTAGACAGCGTAAACCTTTTGTAATGTAAATTACATAAGCTAGTATCCCATAGTCACAACCTAAAAAAGTACTTGAACAGCAGGGAAGATTTATAACAAAAATTGTAACTTATTCTTGTTATTTTTCATAAAAGATTGTGTGCAAAAAATACCTTTTGAGGTATTAATTCAAAGCTGGCTTGGTTTAATAAACATGTAAATATTCACAGATTCTATATAGTGGACAGCATTATGTGAAGAGATAAGAGTGCCACTAATAGAGGACTACAGTGTTGCATCACGATACCATGTGATACTACTCCGTTGCTATTGGCAACCCAAAATGCATTCAACCGACACCATTTTCTCCATTGACAAACCATTGATCCCAATTTCTATCATAATTATTAAGAAGTTGTATCTTAATTTTTCTTTGTAAATGTTAATTGATGATTAAATGTGTGTTCGATAACGAATATAATGCAAGCTTTTTGTGTTTTTAGTACATTTTGATGGTAATTTTAGGTTTTAAAATGCCTATTCCAAACCAGTAAGATTATCTTTTCTGACGTGTTTTATATATTTAATAGAGGGCCCCTGAACATCAGCTGGCCTTCTTGGTCCAGTTGGAAGGATTACCCTCCATAAATAAAGTTTGAATAAAGAATAAGATTATGAAGTCATTCAGGCGTAATGAACGATAACCAAAGTCCAGAGAACGACACGATTGTGGTACTCTATGATAATGATAAAAAATGCAGACAACCCGATGAGTTAATTAAAAGTATATTCATATATTTATTCAAATAATTTTATAAGATTGGCCGGCCCAGTCAAGATGAAGATAATACTAATGGCATAGATAACTACCGGGACATCAACGGTTAAACGGCCTGCTCTACGTCGCCATGCAGTTGTCTTGAGGGCAGCATACAGAAGGGCAGGCACTGCAAGAATGATAGCTGACAGTGTCATACTTCCCTGGTTGCCACCTTGGTCCAATTCATACAAAACCTCAAAAGTAACCTAGGAAAAAAGTGTATACTTAGTAAACACATGGGTAGAAGCTGATCTGCCTCAAAGTTGATTGAGTCTATATATATATATCTAAGGGATGGTGCAAATGTTTAATACTCGAGAGGGTCTGGGGGTACTTTGGATTATTATACTTTACATTAGATCCTCTCAGTTAGACACATCATTATAAATACAAAGAAGGTAAGGTACTAGCCTAGTACAGTACTTCATATTTGATCAGGGGCGGATCCAAATGGGGGGGGGGGGGGGGGGGGACAATATTTTCAGAATAGATAAGCGAGCAGCACTTATTTCAATACATAACATTGATGTGCATTGAAATTTTTTATTTAGCGGTAAAATAGGGGGGGCACAAGGGTACTCGATCTGCGCTGGTTTATAAGCCGTTAGGGCTATCACAAAACATTCTGAAATGTCTCATAGATTTAGAGACTCCGGTATAAAGCGCTATATAAATCGAACTATTACACTGCATACAATTTGTAGTTTTTACATTATAACGACTCAAGAAATAAAAATTATATTATTTTGATTTAGCATGTACTAGTACCTACACCCCACTACCCCTAATATATACATGAAATATTATTACCATAAAAAAAAATTACATTGAGATAAAGTGATATTTTACCTCAACATCACTTGTACTATAGTCAGTATCATAATTCAGGTCTGCATAAGTTATAATAAGTAAAGGGGGGTAAATTTTGCCCTCCTTAGGAGCATTATCTTCATTCTGTAGTACAACCCTAAAATATGAAACAAAAACTGATAAAATTAAACTTTGAAAATGGTAACAACAATGGCTATATATTTGTATTTATGTCTACTGATGTTGTTCAATGTAGCTACAACTATGCTTGGTGAAAAACTAAAACAAAATTGAACTTACTTCAGAATAATGTTCTTTGCATATCGAACTAATTGAGCAGGACTATCTTTGGTTGTCTTTCCAGCAACATTGTCAACAAGGAAAAAGCGACGTGTCAATTGCCAATCATTCTGGGTTGTTTCTGATTAATGAGACAGAAATTTAATAATTATTCTTCATATTTGGCGCCACCAAGTGTCAGAATTCTCAACCACAGGTTTGATGAAGTGTTAAGTTTTCTGACACATCCCTGAGTGGCTTACAGGAGTAGGATAGGAAGGTTTGAAGTATTTTTTATTGTAAATGAATCACACCAGGAGTTGCTTCCAGTGGGGGTCATCTGCCGGTGAATTAGGTCAGTAACGCTGCTCTTTTCAGAAAAATGTAATGCATAACTTAAAGCTTGGTTTCCACACAATCGCTACATGTTATCGCTGACAGCTTTCAGTGATGCTGATTGGTCGGTCAAATCAGGGAACCTCCCCGATTGCGTAGGAGACTGTTACGCAGTACAACGATTGCACTAAAAACACTGTAGTGACTTAAGGAAACCATGCTTAACATGCACATGGGCTATGTTTTACAAATGATAAGTGGAAATACTGTTTAAAAAAAAAGCTAGCCAACACCGAAACTGCAGTATGTGGATACTCCCTCATTGCTGACCGGAGTTATATCAAAATGCAACCTAGCCAGATGGAATGAAATTTCTCTTTTTGTAGGTCGAGGATCCCTATGGAAACAAGCCTTCGAGTTTATAGAGTCATTCTCTTGCTCTCATTTTTGTGTATATTTTTTATGTAAAGGTATCCCTCCAAATAAGGACCCCTCTAATTAAAGACCACTTTTCTGTGTTCCCAAATCAACAAATACAGTATCTTTTACCTTTATTATTCTAATAAAAGACCAAAGCTGCTAAATACCATGGAAACCCTGGTCCCAAAAGTAGTCTTTAACTAGAGGGAGACGTGTATGCAATGAGAGCAATAAATAAAAAACAAACAGAAATGGAAAAAGGGGAATCAAAGAGAACAAAACAAGTGAGTTAAATGAGCTTCAAATATAGACGGATTTCATTTTTGATGATGAATGATCAGTGAAAAGAACTGCGCTTCATAACCTCAAGGAAGAGGCGCATTATAAATGCCTATACTAGCACCAGTAAAATGATAATAATAATGCTCACTTGAGTTATCCTTGCCATCTTCTGCATAATTAGTGACGAGTAGTGGAATTGGGAACAACTTCAATATATCATCATTATCTCTGTACTGCAAATCTGTGACTTGGTTAAGAAAGTACTAACAAAATGATTCATGTATTTTCTGCTTTTATCCATTGTTACAATGATTTTTTTAAAGCACAAAGAGGTAAAGCATCTTTCGATGTATACACTGCAATAATATAAAATGATATATAATAATATAAAACAGTATAATATAAAACAAAACAATAGAACAAATACAATAACAATGTGTATTATTAATTTCTTTCATTTTAGTACATAAAAAGGATACATAAATCAAAAAAAGTTGTTTCATATTTGTCCCAAAAGTCTTGAGCCTTGATGGTACACTGCAAGAAAAATAAATTCAATTTGTGGTAACTACAATATTATGTTGATGAAGGTTTCATCTAAATTTCTATCAAATACATTTTGATTAAATGTAAACTAATGTTTCATACATACACTGCTTTTGAAGTTCTGACCATATTCATATGCAGCATCCATCCTTTGAGGCGTATCTTGACAAAACTAGAAATGCAAGTAATAATAATAATAATAATAATTCCAAAATATTTATATAGCACCAATTTTAACGAATGATCAAAGGCACAGAGCGGTAATACCCTTGGACATTGGATAACATACAATGGCAAATCAGCACAAAGTTCAACTTTCTCTGCTCCCTAAAGAGTATACCTAGTCGGTCGCTACTTGTTAAGCGCACGAAATTAGAACATTCAGTGCCACAACATCCTACCAGGTACCCATTTATACTCCTGGGCAGAGAGAGATGAACGTAGGTAAAGTGCCTTGCCCAGAGAGAGTTTCGAAACCTTGACCTCATGGTTAGGAGTCCAAGCCAAAACCGATGCGGCAACCACTTCTAAGAAGTATTATTATAATTATTATTATTATGTTTTCAGTCATGTAAGTTTGTGTGTGTGTGTGTTTTTCCCATTTCGACACCAATACTTGGCATGTGCTATTTTGTCAAGTATAACAGTAGAGCGTTCGAGTGTATGCTTAGTAAGAATCAATAAGGAATTGGCAGGTAGGCCTGTAAAACTATAACCTAACCTCTCATTAAAAGTGTTAACCATTACAATACTGTAAAAGGTGTTTTCGTTTGGCTGAGTTAGTGTAATTAATAATTTAAGAGTAGATGGTGGTTGGAAAGTAGGAATATATTGTGGGGGATTTATTTTATGGAAAAGGATTTGCTGTGGGCAGAGATATGCTCTCTACTGAGTGCTCTTGTTATTATTGTTATCATTATCATTGTTTGAAGGTTTGCATGGTGAAGTAATAATATATCAATGCTTGCGGTATACCACCTAGATAGTTCTAAAAAGAACTGTTGTAAAACAGGACGTACAAGGCTCAAGGAACACTAAAGGCCATGCTAGGAGAGGGGAATAACAAAAGCCATCTATAGTCATGCACACCCACAAACAACAACATCTTTTAAAGCCGAACTGATAGCCATCTTGGACAGACGGACAAAAATGATACAGTCCATCAAGATATCAGATTTGTTATTAGCGATATCTGTCCATGTTTAATCGGACCTAAACAAAAGCAAAGCATTTCCCACCACACTGGAAACCATGCCATTGTTTTGACTTTCCTTTCACCAAGCTAGAAACAATGCCTCTGTCTTGGCTTCTCCAAAGTCTATACAATTAAGTAGTCTAAATCCCAATTCATTTACCAAATGTTTTTATTTGTTTGTAGGATGGCACAAAGGTGATTTTTCTCACCTGAATAACACCACCTGTGGTTGGCTCCAAACCAAGATACGTTCCATTTGGTCGGTACATAGCCGCCAACACATCAAGCTTGTTGTTCTGAATATATCAATAAACAATAATTAAAAGTTCTAAAACTGCAATAACAATTTCATGTCATTACATATAAGATATTGTAATCTGGAACGGAACTGGGAATTAACCATATAGCATATTATAGTATATACTCTATAACCGCATAACATATACTATATAGCCCCAGTATTCAACCCCGGGCCAACTCCGGCTCACCAATGATTGTGATCCAGCCCCCGCAACACCCTTAAAAAATAAATAATTTTTCTGATCGATTTTCAGTACTTAAGAGAAAAGGTTTTTGTATTAATAGAAACATGAACACCTATGGCATTGTCAACAAGAATCTTGCTTTTTCTGAGTGTATGGTAGCTCACTGTATCTAGTGGTGTAGAGTATTAAAAATTTGCTCACCTCAGCCCCAACCATGGTGGGGCTGAAGTAAATTGGAGGTATCGGACACCTCATCTGTATATGAGTGAATTTTTTTTGTGCTCTACAAATTTGTAGTTGTAGGGTAGGAGAACCTGGAGTGAAAGTTTTTTTTTTATCACTGTCCTTCCCCATCCATACTGCATTCCCTCAATCAAGGCCTATCATAGTTGATGTTGAAAAACCAAGGCTAATAATTAGGGCTACTAGGAAGACTTGTAGGCCTATAAAAGAGAATGTGTTAACACTGTTCATTTCAGCCTGCTGTTGGCTTCAACAGATTGGAACTGGCCACCAGCTTAAAAAGGTTGCATACCAAGGCTATATAGTATATACTCCATAACCATACAGTATATACTGTCATTATAACAATATACTGTAGTATATGGGGCGAAGGTACATATCATGGCTATCGCACCTCTAGATGGCAAGAAATAGCAATCTCAGAATTAAATCTGAATGCATTCTTTATTCTAAGGAGTTTATTTTTTAACTTGGGGGCCTAGGCTTGAATTCTCGTAAAGGAATGTAATATAATATAAAATAATATATGCATACATCACCAGCTGAAAACACAACGTCTATGCCAATATCAGTAGCGATGTTTTCTCCCTCTCCTGTATAGTACAACCAGGGCATATTCTCTTTCCTACAAATAAATCAGACAAATTTAATGACTTAAGATTTAGAAAAAACATGCTCTTTTTTTTAGTTCTACTAAAAATATTTAAAAAATACTGAGATATTTTTAAGATATATAAATATTAAATAAATATACAAAATGTGGATAAAACTACAAAACAAGAAACATAAATCAATAATCAAAATAATATATAGATAAATAAATAAATGTATAAAATGTACACATTTATCATATAAAATGTATAAATGTATACATTTTTTTGATACAAATGTATAAAACTTACCAACCGTTGATTCCATTAAAACTTGATGATTCAACGGATTCTCTGTATTTTCCACATGGTGATTGGCCTCCAGACACAACATACATCTGCATAACACAAATATTTCCCCAGAGTTGACAAGCTGTTAGATTGCTGTATTTCTCGTATTCCTGTAAGAAAGGAGACATGGTTATTGTACTTGCCTTCCAGTCTGAAAGCCCTTGGTTCAAATCCTACAGACCTCACAAATGAATTTTCAGACATATGGCCAAAAAAAACCAAAAAAACTTGCTTATTGTCATCGCACAACCCTGATGTTCAACCGCATTTAGATTAAATACATAAACTTTCAAAATCGGCATAGAAACTTGCATTAGTCACTGAAGTAAATCAGCATAAAAATGTTCTAAAGCAGGAAACGTCCATCTAGAAGAGGCATTATATGCAATAGCGCATTGGTGTACCTAGGGGATTGCCACGCCCAGTCCCTCCACCCCAATTAAAAATGTCTGAAGCAAAAATCATGCTCTAGTAAAATCTACTCTCATCACCTGATTTTTCAACCTAGCTCCAGGCTCCGGAAGAAAAACATTTTTTGATATCAACTGATTTGTCTATTTTGACTAAAAACTCGGGAGCTGTTAATAAGATACAGATTTTTGAATATTTTAAAATGGGGGGGGGGGAAATGGTGGGAAAAGGGTAATTACGCCCCTTTTTCCCAGTTTTTAATACAACAATCTGTACCTCATTAACTGCTTCCAAGTTTTTGTCAAATGTGCTTTTCGTGTCTTTGAAAAATCAGTTGTACAACACTTGTTTTCTCCCCTGAAGTCTGGCTTCAACCATCGAGTTCCCACCTTCACACTCCCCCCTCCCCTCCCCACCCATCCATCAATTTTCAGACTCTTAGATACGCCACTGACAATACGTTAATAGCATGACAATATTTAGAATGTAGGGGTGGGAGAACAACTTGAGTAATTTAAGGTAAAATGCCATGAACCACTTTGACGTTGAGGGCTGTAATTTGTGGTTACTGTATGTTGTTTTTCTTTTTACAACTCATTTTATGAATATTCATTACCAAAAAAAAGCAACCAATCACATTGCTTTCTCTTTTCATTACCTCACATACTTCCACTGCACCAGCATAATTGTCTATAATGAAAATTGAAGGGACTCCTGACTTGCCATCCTATAAGCAAAACAAGCATATTTCAAGTTTAAGTCAAATTTCAGTGTTACAGACATGCGATAAATACACTGCTTTCTATTGCTTTTTAGTCCATTAAACTAAACATTCAAGTCACCAGATACTCCCTGTCAAGGGGTCCAAAATCTCTGACAGGGTGGGTGCCACATCCACCTCAGTTTACCATGGAGGTATTATAAAGAATTAGATCCCTCAGCAACAGATCCCCTTGATGCGACAAACCGATGTGTTGCCCGCCTATGGATCTTATTATTAACATTTGTTAGCATCACCTTGGCAACGACATGCTTTTATGCACTTCAACACAGTAGTTGTGCGATAAACCTTTTGGTTTTAACTCATTAAATTCCTTTAAAATCAACAATGTTCCCTGGTTGGATTTTCTCAGACTTTTAGTATGTTATTATATGTTTATTTCAGTAACAGATTCCGCAAAATATTTCTGTTACAATTACTTCTGTGTTTATTATAATTTTTTCTAAAGATCGATTACGGTAGTTCGTCTATAAAGCTAAGGCAGCGTGAAACTGATAATTACTCTGACTTTGGATTGAATTTTCGAATAGTCCACAATCGTTCACACTAAAATGATTTAGTACATTATTATAATCCTCAATCATACCTTAATTAATATCTGTTAAAATTAGAATTATCGAGTTTTATCCAATTAGTGGAAATTCAATGAAGTTGAAATATACCCTACTTTTAAATCTCATGTAAATGTTCCATTAAATTTGAAACACTTTTTTGTAGAAATATTAATATGTTTGGTATGTAATGAAAAATAAATGTATTAGCTTCAAGGTGAAAACAATTGCGCAGCCTTAGTGATTGACTGTAAGTAGTGCGCATTGAGAAAAGAAGGTGCCCTCCATTTCGCCATGTTCAATTTTTTGGTAAACTAATTCTGCTGAGCCTTTGGTGGCCGGGAACACATTAGACACTAAAGGAATTGCGCAAGCGTTCTTCACACGCAGTGGCAGTTTTGTTCTTGGCTCAACTGCATAGCGCTGCGTGCACCAAGCTTTTTCGAGTGATCTCAATAATACACCTCCATGGTTCTACCATGGTTGGACTCAATTTCACGACACCCAGAAATGGCAATTTCAGATTGTAAAATCCTTTTACGAATGATTAGCTTTTTCCCCAACAGGGGTCCATGGTTCTCTGACATGGGGGCTCTATTACCCCTATTCCACCCACTTCCTCGCTGGCACCGCCACTTAAACTAACATGCTACTGTACATATAAAAATATATATTACATTATGTGTTTACAAAGTCTGTAAAGTAGCCAAAATTGGTTTTCATTGAAAGTTATCCTTTATATGAATAGTTAAAGATGGATGGATGATAGATGTGCGTGCCATATACATTTCCGATTGATTGATTGAATATTCAAAGGTGTTTTTTGTAATTAAATTTCACAGATAGTATTTATCAATGTTCATTAAGATTGTATTCAAACAAACCTACCAATGGAATTATTGATCCTATATTTCCAGCAATTGGTATCAAATCAGTTCCACTTGGAAAACACATACCTCCAGCCTAAAAAATAATTCAAAATATCTTTTGTTAATTAAAACAAATACAATAATTATCTGTATTTATTGAAATATTATCTATTACCTTCATCATCATGATCATTACTTATCATTCTCATGAATCATTACCATGGTCATTATTACCATAATCCTCATAACCATGATCATTATCATATACCATTATCATTACCAATCACTCATTACCATGATTATTACCATCATCCTTATCACCACCGTGGTCAATACCAATCACGCATCACCATAATCATTATCATCATCTTCATCACTACCATGATCAATAGCAGTCACTCATCACCATGATCATTACCACACCATCATCATTATCATTACTATCATCACCATAGTCAGTACCAATCACTCATCACCATGATCATCATCACCATCACCATGATTATCATCACCATGATTAATACCAATCACACATTACAGTACCATGATCATTACCTTCATAAATGACATCTTTATTACATTATTGTTTTCCTGAATTACAGTATACTGTCCAAACACCCTGATTTTAGTAAATTTAGTGATATGGTGATGGTGGTGGTGGTTGTGAGGCCACTGCACTTCAATTTCACCAATACTTACGGATTCACCATTACAGGTACAAGAATCAGAAGCAGCGATAACAAACGGATCACATCGAGTACATCTGAAGAAAAGAGTAGTAGAATTAATTTTCCATTTTATTGTTTCATTTTAATAGTACATGCAAAACATAAGTTCAAGATTTTGAGTATAAATCCCTTGCCTAATGGATTAATATGTTATATTATACAGTGATACAGCATTACCCCTAAAAACTTACTCAGTTTTCTCAGGATTGGGTTGCGACAGCTGTAAACAATCGGTACATGTCTTCTCCGGTAACAATATCCCATCATTCCCATACTCCTCTTGAAAGACAATATAAAATAGACAGTTCGAACTTATATATTGTATATTATAGAAGCAGATCTATAATGTATGTATTTATGCAGTTAATAATTACGTATAGTACAATATCATTATATTATTTGGCTTCAACTACAAGAGTTGGGGAAAGGGGTTCTGAAATTTTCTATGTAATATTTGTTAATAAATTATCATTTAGATTATTATTACTGGATAGATGGATGGCTACATTTGGTGTAAACACCAGGGATAACCCACAAAAGTCTGAAGAAGGCTTATTTAAAGTGGGGTCCTGGGATTTGATGGGCATCACATGGTGTACACTTATCATTTGGCTGATACTGGGTTGGCTGCGCTGCAAGAAATTCACATCCGCTGACAGTTGTAATCTGTATGTTTGGCCGAATCCTCCTTATGGAGGAAAGCCCTTCTCTTGTCTTTCTTTTTTTATGCAAGGGGGAGGGGGTTAGCTCCTATGCCGCACCACCCCCTCGATCTTTCCCTGATTTTCTTGCTTAATAATTTATTAATAACAGGTCAACCTGGGATTTGATGGGCATCACACGGTGTACACTCATCATTATTGGCTGATATGGGGTTGGCAGCACTGCAAGGGATGCATTCATATCCGTCGTCTGTTGTAATCTGTATTTTAAAGAGAAATAAAAGTATAATAATAAAGTATATTATAAGGATAATGATAATACAATATAGCACACATTCATTAATTTTTTCCTTTTAATAGAAAATTGCTGTAGTCTTATGTACACTTAATATTAAGCCTCTCCATTACCACATTTTATGGAAACCGAAATTTTCTATATAATATTTGTTAATAAATTAGCATTAAAAATTATATCAATGGTTTACATACATGGATCAAGGATTGCCAGCAGTGGTGGTGCCAACGGGGGGCATGTTCCCCCATTGGAGAGGCCTGAAGCCCCTATCCAATTAACGTTATTTTGATTGCCAATCCTTAATATTGTTTTCGAAAAGCACATTTTGGACCATATTTTAAGCCATAAAAACTCTCCCCATGAGCAAAACTCTCCCCATAAACCCTACCAGAGATTTTTATTGCAGGACCCCAACCGAGGCTCTAGTCGGCCCTTTGGTTTGGACCCCCTGTCGGACCCCATGTCAGCATGTAAAACTCACCTCTCCATCTGGACACGGAAGACATGTCGGTGTTATTACCTCAGCATCTTGACGGTAACCAGGTTTACATTTACATGAAAGTTCTAAAATGGCAAAAACAGCCAAACATTACTCAAAAAAAAATTGTCTGCACTGAGTGATTCAAATAAAAGCTATTGTTTTTGTTGTAATGCTAGGTACATGATTTAAATTATGCTTTAACCTTAACAAAACAATGCATATGTAATCAGGTTTGGTTTATACCTATCTTATCAAGCAACATTGTTTTGCATTTAATTTTGTATCGATATCAATAAATAAACATAATTTGTGATTAATTGTGCCTGATGGAATAGCAGAATACACTGGGTTTGTAAATCATTTAGAAAACAGGCCTACTTTGAATTGCAATACTGATTATTTTGTGTGCTCCCTACGAACTACAAGAATATTTATCATTGCTCAATTAAATTTATAAAATGAAAATTAAACTGTTCACATTGGCTTTAAAAACTAGATCCAAAGACAAATTTGGGGGTTTATGAGTTATTTTATAAATTTATTTTTTTTTAAATAAAAAGTAAATATAAACTTTAGTATTATAAGTAAGCCCTATACTATTTAGCAAAGTTTAATCTTTTATGACCTTTTTGAGATTTAGTAGTGTAAAGCCCTGATATTATATTATTATTGTTGTTGTATTTATTGTTGTATTTATTGAACTTTATTAAAGACGACAAAATCATGCAGTAAACAAGGAAAATGGACCATCTGGTCATTTTCGTCCAACATGCCATCATAAGGCATTAAGAAGGTAGCTCCACCAATCAACATCAGATTTATTGAGTAAAATTGTCTGAAAAATATCTATGTAAAAACAATGGCGTGGTGATATAGCCTAAATGGTGTTGATTCTTTAACAAAAAATTAAGTAGAAATGTGCATAACAAAATTGAATTAAATATTAATTACTGTATTAATATTATTATTATTATTAATGTGACTGTACCACCACATACCATTGAAGATACGCTGAGGTATAATGCTTAATGCTATCAAAATAATGTAAATGTACAAATGTATTGAAAATCTAGGCTACAGCAGGCTAGAAAATAGGACCATCATCTAAGTTTCATGGTTAGGCCTAACTCAGCTTAATTAATAAAGCTCTATCTAGGGCTGCGAAGGGGGATGCGAATACTTACTATCGGCTGTCGCTTCGGTGAACTCCTCGCAACTTTTGCATTGCAATTCAGCGAAATTGTAGTATTTATCTTGTTCTATACAATCACTAGCGATTTCGTAAAGAAATGAGTTCGAAGACAGACATTTACGAAAATTCATCAAAAATAAAAATAACCATAATGAAAGAACAGGTTTTCTGAACAAAAATGCTAAAGCACTCATCATTGCAGTAACGACTAGGCCTAGGCTGTTTTTGTTGTTTACTGGTTGTTTAGTTGATGAAAAGCGCCATCTATCGCATCAATCAGTCCTGATCACATGCCAAAACAAAAAACGTAAACACACAGCAGCATGCGCAGAGGAAGTCCCTGGAAAGAGTGTAGTATGACCGACGACGTGGTCAAGTGTCTGGTTAGACGGGTTTCGGTTCTGAGTTTACTGCTAGAAAATCATATTCATCATGCTTTCTATTCGTAGAATTTTCAGTAGAAACCTTATTGCTCGTACTATGACACCTACACTTAGTTATGGGACAGCTGTCTATTCAAAAGGTGAAATAATAGTACTACTAGGTTTAGGTTTAATAAAATGCTCTTTTTCATCTAAAAATGGAGATGGGATTGACCAGAGAGACTTCGTCTGCTTACGGAGGTATAAAAGGTAGTAGCATGGAAGCCTCAATTTCGCAGTAGGCCAAACATTTTTTCCTTTTTCCTGTGGTATAAAACGCCACCTTCTGGCTTTATTTCACCATTCTCAAGTAAGCACATAATGAATATAGAAGATTTGTGATCGTATTACTTTTCTTTGACACCCCTTTTTTTGCCTCAATTATCAGGACACATATACTTTTAATATTTATCAACAAGCAAGACATCTGTAATAATAAAAAATATATATATACAAATTTTTAAAAAATTAAAATTAAAAAAAATAAAAATATTTATTTTTAATCTCAATACTGTTGGTTGCCATCGGTGTGTTTTGTGCATGGATCTGATGGCCAAGTCTTAATCATTTGGGTGTAAAAAAGTGGAACATTTTTAGTCGGGAAAGGGAACTTGTTAAAGAAACCAAGATTCATACGTAAAATTAAAAAGTTGTCGGACCAAGATTGTATACAGTAGTTGCGGCAATACAGGCCCAGGTAGCCAAACTGCTGCTTAGTCTGTCGACCCAACCGGCTTTAAGTGCTGCGCAATAATAACCAAAATCTGGTACACTTAAGGCTCTGTTTTCTTTTTATTGGATCAAAATTTACATGCTACCTTTTCCTTTTTTCAATCCCATAGAAAAGTATAGACTAAAGAGTTAATTTGAGGCCAAACTTTATATATTCTCTGATTAGAAAGTAGACAGGACAGTGGCATAAATTCTGGGGTCCGGGGGTTTATGAGGTGTAAGCAAAAGGATTAAATATGAAAGCTTGCAGAAGACTTATATAATTTCCAGTGTGGTCCTTCGGGCGGTGATTTGGCCATCCCCTGCTCTTTTCCGAAGAGTGTACGTTCGTACTCGCACTGGCCATATTGCACACAGGAACAACGGCTCAAAACTTCGAAAGACGGTGAGCTGTTTCAGCAGATAGAATTCAACTGGGGACGAAATAGCTCCAAGGGTATGCATATTCATAGCACATGGTACTCCAATTATTTTAATAAGTGCTGCTCTTAAGATCTTGAAACCTCCTGTAAGTGCCGAAGCAAACAGTTCAAGTACTGAACATATTCATTCAAAACAGAAGAGATTTAGATTGAGATTTAGTTTGTGTAAAGTTTAGTTTAGTTTGTATCGTGTGTGTATGTTTGTCTTGTGTAAGGGATTATCGCCTACAAGTAGGACAGTGATATACAGTATTCGCTATTGACAGTCCTTGGCACATGTATTGTATGCCTAAATAAATAATTAAAAAAAAAAAAAAAGATTTTTCTTTAACATTTTTTTTTTTTTTTTTGACAGTGTCATCCAGTGGTTTGCCGGATATGCCACCCTGTGATTTTCAGCCAACTCCTTATAAGGTAATACTGTTCTGGTAGTTCATTTTTTCCAAATATATATTTCTATAAATCTTTTTATTTGTATTTTTAAAATCTACTTTCAAATATTTCTTTGCTTATTATGTTATTGAACAACATCCAATTTGATATAGTTTTAATAATTTACTTTACTAGAACATTTTAATCTCTTCCAATAATTAAAAAAGTATAGCATATTTTAATTATTAATTTATTATTTTTAGCATGATGCTGTAAGTTAATATATATGGATAATCTTAATACAATTTTTGATTTTTTTAACAATTTGTTATAAATTATTGGCTGTCTATAAGATAGATTTTTTTCTGAAACTCATCAGTTCTGTTGTTGCTGATCTAGGGTCCTAGTTACAATGAAGCCCAAGAGATACGTACAAATAACTCGGCCCTCAACATTATGACCTATTACAAGAAACCTGTATTGATTAACCAGGGCCACATGCAGTGGCTGTTTGATGATGAAGGTCGGCGTTACCTTGACCTCTTTGCCGGTATCGTCACAGTCAGCGTAGGACACTGTCATCCGTAAGTAGCACTTATGTGCCGTTCGCCCTGTCGACTTTCTGTAATTTGGCTATGTATTTCATCATAATTATGTCATATCACATCCATGGGCATATCACATCCATATATGGGCATATCACATCCATATATGGGCATATCACAGTTGCTGTGACATAAATTTGATAGTGTGGACACAGAATTTGTAAGTGCAGTTTGAATTTGTTACAAAAGTTCAGAGTGTAGTATACTGCGCTTGTACTCTATGCTGTGGCAGTGAAATTTCCGTGTAAAATGGAATTTGCATTTCTGTGTTAAATTGAGTATTACAAAATGCATACCAAGTACAGTGTGTTGACAAATGATGAATAGCTAATAGCACCTTGTATGATAAGAGTAATTTTGACCTGGATGTGAGGGAAATTGATCGCCCAAAACACCTCAGAGGTTATTTTCAGGCTTCTAGAATACACAAATTTCACTGGGCATGTCCCCAGACCCCATAGGGTAGTATAACCTCAATTGGCCCCACTTTCATCCCCCTTTTTGGACATATCTGGATCCACCCCTGGTGAAGTTGCAAACTATTTGAGCGCAGTTACAAACTTATTTGGAGTGCAGTTGCAAACTGTTTGGAGTGCAGTTGCAAATTATCTGGAGTGCAGTTGCAAACTATTTGGAGTGCAGTTGCAAATTATTTGGAGTGCAGTTGCAAACTGTTTGGAGGGCAGTTGCAAATTATTTGAAGTGCATTTGCAAACTGTTTGGAGGGCAGTTGCAAACAATTTGGAGTGCAGTAAAGTTGCAAATTATTTTAGTTACAAACTGTTTAGAGTGCAGTTCGAATCTGTTGTAAGTACAGTGGCAATGAATTTGGAGTGCAGTTAAATTGTTGCAACTCTGACAAATATGGTGACATAAAATATTTAATGATTTTTAATTTCTTTTCTTTAGGAAAGTAAATGCTGCCCTCAAAGAACAAGTAGATCTTCTGTGGCATACAACTAACATCTATATGCACCCAAGAGTACATGAGTACGCAGTTAAACTCACGGAACGCCTGCCAGATCCTTTGAAAGTGAGAGTTTACACATTATATAGATTCAGATATTAGGCCATAGTTACCAACCTAAGAGATTTGAAATGCATGCGTGACTGCACCAGCAGGCAGGGTGGGGTTTGGGAGATTTGGCTGAGCCCTGGTGTTGGGGGGGATGGGGAGGGCTCCGGCAATTTGAGCCTTTTTAAGCAATTTTAAAATGATTTCAGGTCATGTTTGTTGAAAATACCAGGTACATAAACAAAATATATTTAATAAAACCTCATACAATTTGAGTACACAAACATTTCATTACTCAAACAAAAAATAAATATGCATACTGATCAATTTTTAGTAACACGTCAGTGAATTAAGTATTCACGTGAATACAGTACTTACCTGAATGCATGCATGTTTGATGCTAACTGAAAACTGTAGTTTCAGCCACTACTGTACATGACTGTTTTTATATTTTTGATAAATCCAGACTTCTAATTTTAAATACATTTTCCCCAGAATTTGTGATAATTTGTTATCACGCATAGGCTTGTGCTAAATGCGTGATAAATTTATGATCACACATGTGTTTCTGCAAAATGCATGTTTCTTCCAAAACTAATTTGAAATGTGGGATTGTCCCGCACAATGCGAGACGGTTAGTAACTATGTTAGGCCTATTGGTGTAATAATAACTACTAAATTAACATGATACTGTAAGTCATAATGTGTATCTAAATTAACATGATATGTCATAATGTGTATCTAAATTAACATGATATGTCATAATGTGTATCTAGATTAACATGATATGTCATGATGTGTATCTAAATTAACATGATATGTCAATGTGTGTATCCAGATTAACATGACATGTCATAATGTGTATCTAAATTAACATGATATGTCATAATGTGTATCTAGATTAACATGATATGTCATAATGTGTATCTAGATTAACATATGTCATAAAGTATCTAAATTAACATGATATGTCACGATGTGTATGTATATTAACATATGTTGTAATGTGTATCTAAATTAACATATGTCATAATGTGTATCTAAATTAACATGATATGTCATAATGTGTATCTACATTAACATATGTCATAAAGTGTCTAAATTAACATGATACGTCGTAATGTGTATCTACATTAACATATGTCATAAAGTGTCTAAATTAACATGATATGTCATGATGTGTATCAAAGGGAGTGGATGCTTATTTGTGCTTGTTTTGGAGCACAAAATTTCTCATTCTCTTAAAGCCCAATTCCCGGCAAAATTTCACTAAAAACTGACTTTTTTTTTAGAAAATATGCATTTGCATTACTCCAATTATTATAAATCATGGAAAAATATTGGCATGAATTTTAGTTTTACGCAAAAGAATAAAAAAATGAGAAATACAGACTATTTCTCATAAAATATTACCAT